TAAGAAACAACATTGAGTGCTTATATCTAAACTGGTTAAGAGCACAAAATCCACATACTTATGAACCTGACTTCAAACAAGTGGAAAAATCAAAAACCAAAAATTAACATTGAGAGCCTATATACAATGATCCAGCAACTAATGAACATATACTATACTATAACACTAACCCCATCTACACGAAACTCAAAGCTCCGAAGGTTATCATAAATGGCGGATTTCAATCAAATTATATATCAGAAATCGAAGTAGAAAATCATACCATAAGGCTGCAGCCGATGAAACCGCTTCAGTCGTGAGGGCTGAATGAATCGTTGAACCAATTGAAATGTTTGAACCCAGCTGATGGAAGTATGAATCGATTAAAATCCTGTCATGTGATAGAGGCTTGAGCTACTGAAGGGGAAAAAGCATGGAATTAGGTTTCACCTGGTATGTATACGTTGTATATCAATCATTCAAGAATAATTTGTATTACGTCTGATGGCTAACATTAATCGATAATAAAATGAAGGCATGTCACTCAGTATTAAAAGTCGAAAATGCAAACCAAATCATCTGGTTTGAAACTTTTTAATACCATGACCAAATTTTATGGGGGTTTTGCCAACTGGCACAATCATCGTTTGATCCATATAAAAAGAAATCCCAACTAGGGTTTGTCAAAGAAAGTACGAAAAGCAGCAACAATACCTGTGTTTGTGAGATGCGAAATGCAGCGACGATTACACGAGAGGAGAAGAACCGGCGACGATGACAGATCCGAACAGCAGCGGCGAGAAGTGTAATAAGAGTTATGCAAGATATCATACGGAAACGGTCCCTTTGGTTTACCTTACTTTGCAAGGTGTAGTCCAAATTTTGAGAAATTAATACAAATATCCTGATGGTTTCAAAATTAAGCTTTTTTGGTCCTTTACTTATCACCATTATTATTTTATGTTAAGTCAAAGATAAAAAAAAAAATAATAATAAATAAATAAAATACTTTTTTTATCATAGGACCAAAATTAATAACACCTTTAAAATCCACAGACCATTTATGAAAATTGTACCAAAATTAAAACAAACATGTTGATCGGAGGTCGAGGTGCTCCAAAGCTTCCACCTCATCAGCCCCGTTACTAGCCACCATGCATGTTTCGACTTGAAGTGTACTCACCGCAAATTGTCTTCACATCTATGTTTGTTGCAACCATAATCTCTTTGTTGAGCATCATGTGTCTTTTCTCTCCATCACTCTGCCCTCCGAAGAAGATGACTCCATCTTTGTTGTTTGTCGCAGCCATAGTCTCTACCTTGAGAATGTTATTATTTTATAATAGTGTTTCATTTAATTTATAATTTGTTGTTTAATGTGTAACATCTTGCTTCCTGTCGTTTCTTATTTCAGGTTCATGGGCCGGAAGTCGAATGTGTAAATGTTTTGGGCCTTAAGGAGGTAAAGTTTAGTCCTTATGGAAGGAGGTAATGATGGTTAAGAGATTGAACCTTTGAAGTGTGTATTGGGACGAAGGGCAGAAAGGGAAAAGTCATAGGCCTGGTTCTTGCATGAAATAAGGATTTTGTTCGAGAAGTTTTTAGTATAAGATATCTAGATATTATTGTGGGGCTCTTTAATACCTTTTCGTGGATATAAAGATCGTCGAAAACGGAGTTTGAACAAAGAATTTATGACCGTTAAAAGTTAGGAAGGTTTGGGTTTAGCCTAGTACGTTGGGCATACATGGAGTACGTTGGGCGTACTAGGCATGGATGATCGAAGAGATTCAATTTGGTATGCTGGGCATACCATGAGTACGTTGGGCTTACGTGATCAAAACCCAAACCCTAATTTCAGGGTTTTGAGCCTTATTTAAGCTCCTTAACTTCCCCAAACCCTTCCCATTCTCATCCCCCACCTCCCCAACGTCCTTCCTTGAAACCTTAACCCTAATTTGAGCCTTATGATCAAAAGAATGTGTTTTTGAGTGCTTTGGAGTGTTTTTGGTACATCTTGGAAAAGAAGGAGCTCATCGGAGAAGTGTTGGTTGCATTGAAGCTTGTGGATCCAGACCTTGTTCACCTTGATCTTTCTTTTGGAGGTATAAAGCTTGAATATTGATGATGCATTTTTTTAGATCTAGCTAGTTTTGAGTATTATAAGCTTTTGGTCACTTTAGCATAAAGTTTAGATCTTGAAAGTTTGTGACCTTGTTATGGATAAAGTTGGAAACTTTATCAATCTAAACATCATTTTGATTTGTTGGAGACTTGGACTTAATGGATTAAGTTGAGAAAGATGCACTTTTGGTCCCTTTGATACTTAAAGACTAGATCTTGGTTGTTTGGACCATCCTAATGGATAAAGTTGGAAACTTTATCCATCATGGAGCTATTAGGAACCATAAAATATGATATTGGTCCTTCTATCCCTTCCACAAAAGAGTTATGTTGTTTTAATGGATTAATAAGTTAGGGTTTTAGCTTTTGGACCTTTTCTAGACATGGAAATTCATAAAGGTGGAAACTTTATTACTTAAGTCGATGTTTTGAGTCTAGATCTGAGCTCTGGATAAAAGGCTTTAATGGATAAAGTGTTTAATGGAGGAGTAAGAATAGGTTGCGTACATTGGGCGTACGTTGAGTACGTTGGACGCAAATTAAGTACGTTGGGCGTACTCAGGAGCCTTGCACTTTGACTTTCGTTGACCGTTGACTTTTTGACCAAGTTTGACTTTGGGTCAAACTTGAGGATGTTGGGCTATTGATTAAGATTCTGTTTGGTTATGGTGTAAGTGGATTTGTGGGTGCAAGAAGTGATGAAAAGGGATTATATCGCAGTGTTTCAGAGTTCTTCAATTTAGGTGAGTGTTCCCTCACTGTACATGTGGGTCGAAGGCACCAATGCTGGCCCACTAGGTTATGTATCCTGGTATATAGGATGTTGTTATGTTGTGGTGATTTGTTAGATTTGTATCCTGGTATATAGGATGTTGATGTGTTATAGTGATCTGCTAGATCTGTGTATGCATCCTTATATGCGTAGTGGTATACTTGTTATCATCTAGTGGAGTGCCCTAGAGATTGTATGTAGTCATGTAGGATAGCTTGAGAACTCTTGATCTAGGCTTTCTTGCATATTCCTTGTTTGGTTGAGGCTCTAGAGCTGGATCATCTGTTCGGTTGGCTATCTCACATTTGGTTACTTATGGTTACGTATGTCATGGATGTTAGTTGATGGCGGGATAATGTGTTCTGAGAGGACTAATAGGCGGTAGTAAGTTGTATGATTGATTTTTGTCTGTATTATGTTCATACTTGATCCTTGATTGTTTATATGTTAACATATGGTGGTAGTGGGTTGAGGCGGTCCTGCTTTGTGCGAAAGCCAACAAACCTGGGAGCAAGGCATACATAAGTTGTGAGCCCGAAAGGTAAGCCAGACTTATGTTGTGGGATCGGGAGCAAGTCATACATAATTTGTGGGCCTAAGGGGCAAACCATACTTATATTGTGGGCTCAGGAGTAAGTTAGACATGAGCTGTGGGCCGGTAGGCAAGCCAGACTCATGTTGAGGACTCAGGGGTAATACACTCTGTTAGTTGTGGACCCAATATGCATGTTGTTATATGTTTGTGTGCTGGTATTTTGGGGAAACTCATTAAGCTTTGTGTTTACCCAGTTGTTTATGTTTTTCAAATTTTATCGGTGATCATGGGAAAACGAAGGCGGGACTATACACACTCATCAACAACATTAAGGATTTCGTGTTTCTTATATTACTTTGATTTTCAATAAATGTATTTTGGAATAAACGGTTTTCTTAATAATGAATCTATAATTTGGAATTTTCCTCTAATAATAATAAATACGTAAATAAATTGTTGCGAAAATGAGACGTCACATAATGTATATAACTCCCTTAACCATGGACTTCATCCCCACTAATGGTAGAATCTAAAGTGGCATGCTTATGAAAATGTAGAATGAATTTTAAGTGAAATAAGTTTTCATAAAAATTGATATATATATATATATATATATATATATATATATATATATATATATATATATATATATATATATATATATATAGAGAGAGAGAGAGAGAGAGAGAGAGAAAGAAAGAGAATAAAAAAGACAGGTTTTATTTGATTAAAAGTTTGGCATTGATTTAACATCTTTGTTGATTGCCATATAAGCAAAACCAACGCATTAATAGGGTTACTTGTTCTCTTCTAGAAATAGTTAAAATGAAAATGAAAGGGAGAGAGTTGAACTCCTTTTCAAACTTCAATCCGAACGGTTAATTGAGTATCTAATATACTTCCATACAATGTTTTTTGGGTTATTTATAAAAGTAAATAACCACTTTGAATGTGATATTTAAGAAAATAACTCATTTTTTTTAATAAAATTGTCAACTTTTACAAAATGGTGCATTTCAGACTATTTTATGTTAAATCGAAAGTCCTTTTCCCTAATGAAAAAAATATATCCTGGACTAACATTCTGATTTCAGACCAAAAAAATATTCCAAATTTCAAAAACAAAGCTAAAATCCAATAAATAATTCTAGAATTATGGGGAAAAAAATACTTCATTTTTTATTAAACCTAAACAAAAAGTTAAACATAACAAATTGAAAGTATATACTTAAAATATGACATTTTATATGATACACACTTAAAATGTGACATTTTATTGAAAAACCATGATATTAAGCACATTGGAAAACGTGACATATTGTTGAAAACCCATAATATTATACACATCGGAATGTATATTTCAGACACCGAGTAAAAATAACTTTTTGAAAAGTTTTTTTGAGCAAACGATAGAAAAATACACATTATATTTTTTTAACTAGTCGGAATGACCCATCAAAGTCCAAAATAACCTCATTTAAGACAAAATAGTCATTTTTGCCAAAAAAAAAAATGATATAATGAAATCAGTCAATCTGTATATAAATGTTGATCAAGACAAAAAAAAAAAAAAAAAAAAAAAAAAACACACAACCCTTCTCTGCACATTTTTGTTAAGCATAAGACAAATAAGGTGCATTTGACATTCATTAGAGACTAAAACAGTTTAATACCACTAAATTACACTTTCCTTCTCATCCAGTCATCCTCATTATTAATGACCTTTATGTCTCATGTAACAAACACAATACGAAGTTCCATGCAGATTCAAATCCAAGGTCCGTTTTTCCCGATTTAAAAACAAACCAAAATCACATAATGACAGATAACTCATCCAAATGCAACACCCATGGTTATTTCTTCATATTCTACATATTTTTTTCTATAAAAATAAAAACAATCAAATTGTATCCAACCATGAATCAAAATCATCAAGCAGTTCAGATTTGGGATTGGACACAATTCCGGAAGTCTCCGATAAAATTCCAATTTCAACCGGAGTAGACGTTTCCTTAAGTAGGTCATCAATATCAAATGCTACACTTTCTTCTTTCCTTGATTTTTCTTTCTTTTCCTTCAAATTAGCATGCACAAAAGAATCCAACAACATATCGAGTTCAAGTTCAGCTGTTTTCGGTTCAAATTTTGATTGAATCTCACTTGGGTTTGGTGTGGGGTCCACCATTGGGTTCACACCATTGTGGCTCGTGGTGGGTTTGGATGGTTCCGGTTCCGGTTCCAGTTCCTGTTCTCTTTCAGAATACTTAAAAAAAAAATTATAAAAATAACAAATTATTAAACTAATTGCAAATTTTGTCCCATTTATACAATTCAAGTCCAATGAAAGAAGAATGCTACTTACCATATCTTGAGGGAATAAATCGGGTTCCATAAAAAGCCTTTTTGGTAAATCTATTTTTGCAAGCTGTTTCGAAAGAGCATGCAAATTGAGTGATAGAAATGAAGCCTACACATATAAGGGGAGATTATCAGTTGAATTATATTGTGGTTTAATGAATCAATGTCTTTATGGTGATTAAAATTTATGTATAAATAAAATAATACCATGAATATAATAACATCAAGTATATTAAGTACCTCGTAGTTTGCAGGTGTCTTATCATCCACAAAGAAACTATCATTTTGAATTGTTGATAGCAAGCTTTCTCCTCTTACACCAAGAAAGGAGTCTTTCCCCTGATCAAAATCTAACAAAAATGATTTAACCTTCTATATAAAAAATAAAAGTGCTTATTTTTTATATGCAAAAACTACACACGCACACACAGAGACATGTCTAATAGGAGAGCTTGAATGAATCAAACAAGAGCTTACCAGAAACAAAATCATCAAAAGATGGAAAGATTTCTGAAGAAAACCTTGTTGAATTCTGGGATTTAGCTTCAGAAATCAAGTAAGCATAGTCTGCACCTTTACTTTTAGGTAAAACTATATCACTTTGTTGACTAGATTGACCATGTATTTGACTTTTGGTCATGGGATCATCTTCATCTTCATATCGGTCCCAATTAGAGGGGAGTGAAGGTGAGAAATGAGATTGGCGGGGTTGTTCTTTAACTACATTCCCTGGTGGCTTGAGTGTGATAGAAGCTCCTGTAGAGGTGGTGGTAGCTTTTGCCTTTTGATTATGATGATGCTTCTTATGATGCTGTGTATGTGCTCTCTTTGATTTTGCTAGTGATTTTGTATCCATGATGGTGTTTGATTTAATGTTGTTTTAGAAGCTTGGAAACAGATCTATAAGAATAAGAAGTGAGAGTTGAATAAGTGAATAACAATCAATGTTGCGAAAGGAATGTATTGGAATCAAATTTACCTAATGTTTATCAAACAAGAATTGTTAAGAAAGCTTAAATGGAAGATCTTTCATATTGTCCTATTAAAAGATGGAATATAAGTCGATCCATAACTGAAAATGCAAGCAACATAGCATAGGTACTAGTTAGTTCTCAATCAATTTCAAGAAGATAAAACTTTATGTTCATTCAGTAACTCTATCTCATGAGCAATTGGAAATCAAAAGTTCATAAGCCCTTATACCACCACGAAAACCAGATGCAGATGCAGATCAAAAGCAACCTAACAACATCTAGCATCATCAATTTAATTCTTATAATCTGTTAAACTGAGCAAATGTTTGAAAAGGAACACATGAATAATCGAATTCCGTCTTATTTACAGGGACTGAAAAGGGAACTAGGGTATCGTTAATCATAAGAAAGTGACGATTGATAAAAATCGAACATGGAACTGAAATGTGGAATTACAGCTGCACGCAAACTTTAGTGCGACAGAAGGCCAGGGTGATTACCTATCAAACGAGTAATATTGAAGAGTTCACGACGCTTCGAGTGTAAATTATGCTCGTTCTTCCGTGGTGTTTCCAGTTTTGTATGTTCTTTGGAAACGATAAAAAGGATCAAACGCATACCAGCAGGACTTATACGTTTTCAGAGGTTAACTAAATACTAGTATATCAATTTGGTATCATTTCTAATATAAACCCTAAAAATGATTCAGTTCAATTAAGTGGATATCAACTTTGGAAATCCTAATTAATATGTTATTATTATTTTTTTTTAATCTAAACCCTAATTAACCATTATATATAGGCATGTAAACGGTAAACTGGACCGGAACAGAAAAAACTGAAAACTGAATAAATCATAAACTAAGAACTGAATACCACTATTCGGTTTCAATCGGTTCAATTCTACTAAGAAATATATTATCTAAGAAGGTGTTTGGAACAAAAACCGAAAAAAACAAAAATCAAATAAAGTATAAACTAAGAACCGAATACTATTATTCAGTTCCAATGTCTTATTTTTAGTTAATTAAAAAACCCTGAAAAACTCTAATTTTGACATATAATAATAATATTTCAAAACTGGGCGAGTATCCAGTTTCCTTATCATCATGATGCATTTTGGCATTCCAAAATCGTCCGTATGGAAAGGTTCTAGATCTCTTCTCGTGTTCAACTTTTAAACAAATCCGGTTTAGTCTTTGCATCCGAATTAATTCTAATTAATCCTAAAATTAATTCAAATTAATTTCTTATTAATTCTAATTAATATTTCAAAATAATATATTAATCATATAATATATTAATAGATTATTTATTATAATTGATTAATTATATAATAAATTAATAAATCATCATCTCTCAACAAACGTCACTCTAACAAAGCTCTAGTTATGAGGGTAACCAAAAAGGACTTTGTTTTTAATTACAAGAATACATCAATTTAGTTATGAGCGCAGACCCATTAATCCAATAGTGTACCACTTGGATAAGTTTATAATTATAATTGAGTATAACCCTTAACCAAACAGCAAAGTGTGCTTTCCAAAGCCAGTACCAAACTATGATTCAAATCAAAACGTTAGCCCTAAGATAAGTGATCAACTATTCATTCATTCTTCATGATATCTTAAAACACGAGATATGGATAAGAATCAATCTCACTGTCTAACATTTTGTTTCCTGATTTCTCGATTTGTGATGACACCATCAAAATATTAACTGACCAGTCTTGGTTGGGCCCAACACTATAATGTCAACATCAAATCAACAATGGGCCTAAATATCGTTTTCCCGTTAGTGTAAAAGGAGCAAATAAATTTTGACTACATAATTGTAACATTTACTTATCAAATCATACATGATACTACGATTTATAAGATCATGTTACTGATGCATTTACACAACACCAATGCACTTTCGGCTTATAAAGTACAACTTATATATCTTCGTTTGAATAATAGAAGATATTGTTGTCTTAGAATTACTTATGACTGAATCCATGAAGTAATCTCTAAGTGTGGATTTATCCAATACTTAAAATCTCTATTTTCTAAGTACTCATGAATATTACAACAATCTTTATGCAATGTCTAATCTCTATGGACAATCTACATTCAATTCATGACAGCCTTAATTCACTACTTACTTTCAAAACTATGAGCGATTATGGAACTTTGAATAATTAAATTATTCAGGAAGTAAAATATGCAAAGTGAAATACAAAAATAAACAATTAAAGAAGGTAGTGCACATACTCATAAATAATTATCTATTATTTAATCACCAAAAGTGTGACATCCCCATTTTCACGGCCAGAAAAGATTGATTTGCTTATGCTTATTTAAAAATCAAAGTTTACATTGTATTCGAATCATAACAATTGAATAAGAGTGATCAAAGCCGTATACAATCATATTGATAATTTATAAGTTTACATTGTATTCGAATCGTTGTTTGTTTAATGCCAAATACATATGACAATAATATATATATATATATATATATATATATATATATATATATATATATATATATATATATGTCTAGGTTATTTTATTCAAAGTAATTACTGTGTTATTGTATGCATAACTGTGAACCAATCAATTTTACTTATTTTAAGAAAGTGATTAATATATATTATTGAATTAAATGTAATTGAAAAATATCATCTAATTTAATTACAACGGTATTTTAGTCAATTAAAATATGTTTAATAAAGGAAAATTGCATATTTTAAGGGATCATAGATTCTATTAATTTTAAAAATCCGATTTTACGAATTATAACTATTTTAATTTGGACATTCTGACAAAATATGTTTCTTTATTTAATCCTTTACTGAAAAATAAAAATATTCTTGAACAATAAATAATAAAAATATTCTTGAACCTATTTCTTGATCATGAGTTTAAGAACTTCTTGTAGAATAACAAATTGTTGGACAATCAATTGAAGAATAAAAACAAAAAATACATTATTTTATATAGAATACGGGTATAACAATTGTTAAGAATTACAACAACTAATACATTCTAAAAGAATAATGTGGTCCGTTTTCAATTTTGTGGTCCATTCTTCAAGCATCAACTTCTGTGATTCCAACAGAATTGGAATTCGTGATTCCATTCCAACAGAATTAGAATACGTGATTCCATTCTAATAGAATTGGAATCTCACCAATATCATCCATTGAATCATCTACATAAACATACTTGATACCTTTTTAGAATTCAACCTTTTCAAGATCCTGCACTGTCCACATAAATGAAGTGCTAAATCAGAAAAAAAAAAAATGAAATATGAATCAGTCCCTTTGCTGCATCAACCAGACCATTTGAAAGAAACATAGATGATCTCCATATCACTCAAAAAATTCCACTTGAATTGGAATTATAAAGCTAAGTTATCGATTCCCGTAACAAACAAAAACGGAAGGAAAAAATCCTAAGTGAAAATTAACTCGAACAGAGCTTCATGTTACTTCATTATATCAAAAATCAAATCTAACCAAACATCGATTCACTCAAATACGAAGCTCAAAAGAAAAATAATTCAATCAAACAAGTAGAGCAATAAACCTTGTTCTGTTGTTCATTCTTTTAACTATAATTATTAGGGAATGATAACATTATAGGAGGAAAACCAAATGACATGAAGGCTATACAAAAAACTGTATCCAAGCATAGATAAGGGTATGCTTCAGGAACACTACAAATAAAGAAACACCAAAATCAGTAGCTTTAATTAAATGAAACAAACCTGGCCACGAAACAGTCAATTAACTTGAGGATTAATAAATTAAGTATCAAGAACCTGTAAACAATATTGTTTATTGGTTCATTTAAAGAAAATAATAAGGGAGATGAGAGGGAAAAGGTTGTCGTTGAACACTCTCCCGGGGTCGTTGTCGCTTCAATCAAACCAATCCTCACACCCATATCTTCTTTTTCTCTACACAAACACCACTGGATTTCCTCCCCGTTCGCCCCTTGTTACTGGAAACGGAGCAAACAATCGATAGGCTGCTTGAGTCCTCGCAACACCCACAAAAGCCACAACAGCTTCACTATGATTTCTGTTTCCTGTCTTAGGCCTCATCGAGCACCATAGTTTGTTCATTCGCTGCCTTATGTCGCTTCCTCTGCTCGCAATCGATCGGAAAATCATTGTGCCCTCTGTGAGCCTTCACTGTGTCCATTCCGTTCATAAGCCACCACTATGAGTGATTGATTACCACCACCGGAAACACAACCTTGGCCTTCCACCAATCGACAGAACCCCCAAATGATTCCTGCACCCGATTTCTTTGGTCTCCGTGACCTGCTCTCGTTGGAAACGCAACTACGTCTATCTTTGCCCGATCAAAAGGAACACATGTTTAAAAGCCCTAATCTTTTAAGTGGGTCCCCTTGTTGAAAGCAAAGTCTCCCTTATTTATTTAGGTTATAAATCAATACCATGATTATAGGGATTATTTTTTGAAGTTACTAAACAAATTACTAAATTACCCTTATTTATTTATTTATTTAATTATTTAATTTTTTTATTTAATTTTAATTGATCCACATTGATACATACAATAACACAATACTTACTTTTAATACCTGAACCTAGCTCTCTCTCTCTCTCTCTCTCTCTCTCTATATATATATATATATATATATATATATATATATATATATATATATATATATACGGCGTGATGCTGCTATGCCCCATCTTCAAAATCCTTATGGGTACCTGATTACTGATTTCCTAATAATACAAGTAGTTTTGAAAAGTGTCAACAATTAAGTTGGTGAGTTCATAAGAGTTTTGTATGAGAAAAATCTTCCATTTTTCCTTGTAAAATGATGGAGTGTGTTTCCAGAAAATCCATTATTTTCCTTTAAATGAACTGTAGTCTTAGAAACCCTAAGATCGGTATGTATAAGTATTTGTACTAGAAAATAGTATAATGTAGTTTTGTCATTATATAAAACTGATTGAAGATAATGTGCTTTTTTGTAAGATAATAGAGTGTACTTTTAGAAAATCCAATATTTTCTTTTAAATGAATTATAGTTTTAGATACCCTAAGACCAATATGTATAAATATTGTACAGGAAAGTATTATAGTGTAGTTTATCGTTTAAATAAAACTAATTGAAAATAGTGTAAATTAGCCCCGTAAACCAAATGTATTGTTAATACCTCATGTGAGTTATTATAGTCATGCTAGCAACGAGTTGGCCTGCTACGACGTTCTTCAAGCGTCGGAATGTTAGACATTTGTCACCCCAGACCTGCCGGTCTGACTGTAGCTAACAATTTAGGTGCAGGATTGTCAGTCCTGTATAAATCTATACACAAGTTTCATGCTTTCTTACCGAGACTCTGGTTATAATTCAGGAACTTTAGTATGTACTCTAGTAGGTATGGTGAAGGTATGTCTCACAAAAGTGTATTAACTGGTTTACGTCTAGTGTAATGAAAACCCATTTTTCTTGTAAATGAAAGTATAGCCCTTCCAATATTGGTTACGTAGTGTAAAAATAATTATACATTTAAATAATTATTTCTTTGTCCCGAAAGGGAAAATAATGTGAATGCCTTATAAACTATACTTATCATAGTTTATAAAAATATGTTGTCGAAATGAATAATCTCTTGTATGTGCTATTATCATTTTACCAT